GAATTTTCCATGTAGAAAAGATAGCCCTTCAGGATCTAGCCTGATAGTATCTGAGACAATGACTCATATGGCGAGGACGCCTCCTTAGGATGTGAACTTTGTGGGACCAATCTTATGTAGAAATTGTGCTAAATCTGAGCTCACTCTCCCAAAAGATGGTATAAGAAAGAGTGAGGCCTGCTGTATGTGTCAGGAATAGGGGGAAGGGAGAAAAAGGTATTTCTTTTCTTGTCCTATCTTTGACACAAATATTCCTTTGTAAAAACTAACTGACGTTACCTGGTTAAATGGAACTGAAGAACTAACCATTGATGACTGGCAGTAGGGAGGGCACAGCTGCTGAGGGATTATACTAATGGCATTAGAGAGAGACATCCATACCCTAGAAATTTAAGGGAGAGATATACCCAGCGTTGCTCTGGGAGAGTAAGCCTAGGGCATACTTATCACAATAGTTGGCAATTTTTTTGTTTGAGAACTGTTTATTCATATCCTTTGACCAATTATCCAACAGGGAAGGACTATTTGTATTAGTTCTCTTTATATTTTGGATATAAGATGCTTATCAATGTTATTTGATATAGAGACTTTTTTTTTTTGCAATTGTCAACTTCTCTTCTTATATTAGTTATGTTGATTTTGTTCATGCAAAAGCTTTTCAAATTTGTGTCATTGAAATAACCTTTTCTATCTTTTATGATGACCTCTATCCCTTTTTGGTTCGGAATTCTTCCCCTAAGCATGCCTATGAAAGCTACCTTATCTGGTTTACTTAGCATTTATTTATTTATTTTAATGGTGTGACCTTCAGTATTTAGATTGCACGTCCACTTTGAGTTTATTGTGGTACTCAGTATGTGTTGGTCTAAACACAATTTTTGTTACACTGCTTTCCAGTTTTCTCAGTAATTCTTGTAAAATATGGAGTTATTTCCCAAGTAATTTATGTCCTAGATTTTTTGAACTCTGGGATTAAGTTTATTTCTTTTATTTTCTCTATTCCACTAACCTATTTTCTATTTCTTTTTAGGCAGCACCTAATAATTGTGATGATTACTACCTTATACTATAACTTGAGGCCTGGATGGTCTATTCTTTGGAAGCATAATATTTATTATTGACTGACTAAAAAGATTAATTTCAAAACTCTACTTCTAGCCCTGATTTTTTCTGAGCTTTAGATTTATATTTTAAATTACCTGCTAGACATCTTAGCCTGGATGTGTCACTAATACTCCAATCTTTACATGTCGCAAACTCATTTTTTGCTCAAAACCTTTCCCTCCTCAGGACATTTTTAATAATACCAACATATTCCCAACTGTATTTCAAAAGTTCAAAATCATTTTTTACTTTTCTCTATCCCACTTTTTTTGGGGTAGCCAAAAACTTTATTACAAGTAAACAACCTAAGACTGAAAGTTAATTTTTGAATAAAAAAAAGAGAAAAAAATTTCATACCCAGGTGCCATTGATTGTTCTAAAAAGGGACAGTGGGAGGAGGAAGTAAGAGGATTGGCTAGCACCAAGGAATGCCATTTTTTATCTAGAGAAGAGAAGGATAGTGGGAGAAAATTACAATCTTATCCTCCTAGTTCACTCATTTGTCAGTTATTACTGTCTTGCCCTCCCAGTTAACATTTGATCATCTCTTGGTGCCACACGCAAACAACCCCTACCACCTTTAATGGCCCAGTTGAAGTTATGTCACTTCTCTCCTCTTCCTTCTTCAATGGCCATTGTGTCCCCATATTTTTTCTTGGATAAGTTTGCAATCACTTTCCTTTGTCCTCCTCCTTCTTCTGCCCAGGAGTTTGCTCTACCTCCAGGTCAGTCAGGGGCAAGACCACAGGAAGTTGGGCAATGCTGGGTGAATCACCCAACCAGCAAAGATGTTCTATTCCCTGCAAAGTTTTCCTAGTAGGTAGGGGGTTTGCACTAAGCATGGACTCCTCCTCCCCCCTCTCCCCAACACACACACACTTTAGACTATTATTTTATTTCTTTTTTTCTTTTTTGTCATTATGAACTTGACAAATATGAACATTTCCCTAAATAAAGAATTGAATACAAGGACTGTAAAATGAAACTGTCTCCAGTTTCATATAGCTTTGAGGTTTAAAAATAATTTCAACTTTAACATGGTAGTTGTAACATTGCCATGCTTGTTTGTGATTGCATCTGAGCTTCTACCTATTCTCTTCTGTGTATTTAGAAAGAATATTCACTGATACTTTTTTCTTTTCTTTCATGTTTAATATTACTATTACTAACCCTGACTCCTTCCTCCAATTTCCCCACCCTCTCCAAAAATAAAATTCCTTCCTTGTAGTAAATAGATATTATCACACAAAACAAATTAACACATTGACCGTGTCTGTACCTCTTGACCTCTACCAAAAGGTGGGAAGCATGATACATCATTAGTCTATCCATAGAGAGTTATTGCATTGATCCTAATTCTTAAGTCTTTCATAGTTGTAATCCTTTACAATGCTTTAGTCATTGTATTATAACCCAATTCCCCAACCAAGCTGGGTTAAGGAAGGGCAGTCATATGGTACATGTTACCTTTGGAACGTGATTCTGGAATAGTGAAAAGAATGCTTGATGCAACCCTGAATGACCATATGAGGGGCTGACTTGGTCAGAAAGCTTTGAAGAGTAGAGATATTTGTCATTCTGCTTTGAGAGAGGACATGTAGCAGACTGACTTGGGGACTGGTTCCAGACATGTAAGGAGATAGAGATAGACTTTAAAGAGACATGTAGGCAAAGCCATCTCCTCAACATGTCCCTTTATTTTCAGCTTACTTCCCTAAGAAATTTCAGGAAATTTCCCCTTCAGTGACACTGGGATCTCTCTCTTCATTAAGCTGCAATTTCATCTCCTTCCCATCTAAAGAGTTTATTTAATCTTGTGTATTTTCTAGTGTAATCTAGTCTGTATTTCTGATTTCTGTTTGGCATTTGCTGAACAGATGAGTTTATTTGCTATTTACTTTTGGAGATGTCTTTTGTGAAACTGGTAGGAGCAATAGCCCAACTCCTCTCCAATGCAGTGTAGGCTAGTTTTTCCTTAAAAGGTATCCAGACATTTCCCCAAACTTGGCTGACTTAGGGGACTAAGGGCTCAGACAATTGACATCACTTCTAATCATCTGGGTACAAAGCAGCCATAAGCTGAAGGAACTCTCAAATGCTTGTCTGGTGAATCTCAATTGGAGCTTTGCTAAGCTACACCAACTGGAGTGGTCCTCAGTGCCTGTTCTTTTTAAAAATATTTTTCTCCAGCTATTGCTAAATAAGTTTCCTTTTTGTAACTATTGAATGACCTATGAATGTCTCATTTTATTCCAATATAGAACCTAAATTACCAGGGGACCGGCCTGAGTCATGCCCAGCACAGAACAATTGGTGTAATCTTGTAGGATTGTAACATAATGAATTGCAGTTATCCTTCTACATTACAGAGGTTAGAGGCAATGCGCCCCCATGATGTGGAAAATCCACGTAAATTTTTTTGGCCCTCCCTTTGCTCCAGAGAAGAAGTCTGAATCATTATGGTATTAAAAGATAAAAATGTTGGTATTATACCATACTGTACATATATTTTATGCATTTCTGAGTTTCTAAACTTTTTCTGTGTCATCTGCAGCTTCCACAAAACTCCCCCCAAATTCCCATTTAATTTCTTATGCCAACCCACGATATATTGAAACCACAATGGGGAAAGTTGTGATATGGAAGGGATAACTGTAGTTGAAGTGGGGGATGGACAGAGCAGAGGCAAGTGATTCTGAATTAGCCTTCATGCTTCTGGTAACGCTTTTGGTATTGTCTCTGGAGAAAGCGGTTGCTTTTACTGTAAGGCACTTCCTTGGAGATTAAAGAGAAAACTGCCTATGACCATTCAACAAGAATGTGAGCACATACTGTGTCTTTAAAAATACCTAGAAGATAATTGTGTAGATGCCTTGAAGACAATCACATTAGTCTATGGCTTAAGCCCTCCAGTTTTCTTGGGCCTTCCAGCCTGGAAATTTAAGACTCTTCCAAGTTCTTTGAGTGCATTCCTTCAAAACTCAGTTTATCTTCAAAGCAACCTAGGGCAATTGAATGGAATGGAAAAAGAGATTTTCTCTCATTAGAAAAAGGCAAATTCATTAGAGCTAGTTGTTCTCAGTCCTAGCTGAGACAGAATCAACTTCAATTCAAATTTAAATTCAATCGACTTCTGGGAGGTCTAAAAAAAGTCCTCTCCTAGCTTTAAGGGAATCATCTTTACATAGATTGTTTGGTTTTGGAAATGATGATGCAGCTGAACCAGGAATCCTCAGTCCTGTAATTGTATATGGACATAGCCAGCCTTTGAGGGGTGGCATGAGTTACCTCAACAATGAGAGAATGCAAACAAAGGAAGATCCTTAAAATTTTAAGATTGCCTAACAACTATGCTGAGTAAACTGAGTTTTGTTTGTCTTTAAATTAGGGATTTGAGAAACCAACCACAATTTTGCCACAAAGATTTTGTTGTGACTATATGTAAGCCATTGGGGGAGGCACTTGATAGGACAATCTTAAGTTCTCCCCAGGAGCCCAGAGATAGTTCTTGAATGGGTAGGAACAAATGTTCTTCCCTTATATTTTATTTTAAGGTAAAAACTATAAATTTATTTATAACTTGAAATATAAACATGTTATTTGTTTTAAAACATATTTAATTTTTATTTTAAAAGGATATTAATCATTTCATATTTTAAGAACAGTAAGAAAAGGTCCATACAAGAAGAAAACAATTTTCAAACAAGATGGGAGGTAGATGATTTCTTTTCTAAAGGAAAAACAAGATTTTATGTTTAATTTATAGACACCATTTTAGTATCCCCAAGGAATGTAATTTAAGTTCTATTATGAAATACATCATTCTACCTCTCCCTTCCCCCTTCTCCCTGTGCTTCCCTCTTTCTCACCCTTTCATTTTCTTTTTTTTTTTTTAGAGGTCATCGTAACATAATTGACTCACATTCATGCCCTCTATGTAGACTCCAACTGCTTTAATAATGATACAATTACTAGGAATTACATGTATTGCCTTCCCATATAGAAATGTAAGTAGTTTAACTTTATTGAGTCCCTTATCATTATTCTTCCATGTTTACCTTTTATGCTTCATTGAGTCTTGTGTTTGATTGTCAAATTTTCTATACAGCTCTTGCATTTTCATCAGGAATGGTTGAAAGTCCTCTATTTCATTAAATGCCCATTTCTCCTCTGAAGGATTATATTCAGTGTTTCCAGGTAGGTTATTCTTGGTTGTAATCAGAACTCTTTTGCCTTCCAGAATATCATATTCTAAGCTCTCTGTTCCTTTAATGTGGAAGTCATTAAATCTTGTGTGACCTTGACTGTGGCTTCATGATATTTGAGTTGTTTCTTTATGGATGCTTGAAGTATTTTCTCCTTAACCTGGGAGCTCTGGAATTTGGGTATAATATTCCTGGGAGTTTTCATTTTGGGATCTCTTTCAGGAGGTGATAAGTGGATTCCTTCAATTTCTATTTTATCCTCTGGATCTAAGATATCAGGGTAATTTTCCTTTATAATTTCTTGAAATACCATGTCTAGGCTCTTTTTTTTTGGATCATAGCTTTCAGGTAGTCTAATAATTCTTAAATTGTATCTCCTTGGTCTGTTTTCCAGGTTAGTTGTTTTTCTGATGAGATGTTTCACATTTTCTTGTGTTTTCTTTTTGTTCTTTTGACTTTATTTTATTGTTTCTTGATGTCTCATGGAATCATTAACTTTTACTTGCCTACTTCTAATTTTTAAGGAATAATTTTCTTCAGTGAGCTTTTATACTCTTTTTGCATTTAACCAATTTTGCTTTTTAAGGAGTTTTTTTCTTCAGTGGATTTTTGTCCCTCGTTTACCATTTGGCTTATTCTGTTTTCTAAGGTGTTTTTTGCAGTATTTTGTTGTGTTTCCATTACCAAGCTATTGATTCTTTCTGCATGATTTTCTAGCCTGGTGGCTTCTTATCTTGCTCTTCTCCAGTCAAGAAATACAGCCATCATTGGAGGAAGGTATATAAGATTCTAGAGATATTTATCCATGCCTTCCCTCAAGCTGTTTGTCTATATGTTTAGACACCAATGTGGATGTGTACATCATACACATCTCACATAAATATTTTACAAGAGGCCACTAGGTAGTACAACAAATATATGCATATGTTTGTGTATATACATGTGCATATATATGTATATATGTGTATGTATATGTATATGTATACACATATGCATGTGTATATATATATGTGTGTGTGTGTGCTGGTCCTGAGTTCAAATGTGTCCTCAGGCACTTAATAGCCATGGTCAAGTAATTTAACCTTTGTCTATTTCAGTTTCCTTATTTGTACAATAGGGACAATAATTGCACCTACCTCCCAAGGTTGTTATGAAGTTAGGATAGTATTTTTTTTTGTTTTTAATTTTTTATTAATTTATTTTGATTTATCAATAATCACTTCCATATGCTTTTGAGTTTAAAATTTTTCTCCTCCTTTCTCCCCATCAACCTCCCCAAGACGGCACATCATCTGATATGGGCTATACATTTACATTCCTGTTAAACATATTTTCACATTAGTGATGTTGTAAGTAAAAAATAACACTAATAGGAAGAACCACCAGAAAGAGGAAACAAAACTCAACAGAAGAGAAAAAAAAATAGCAATTCAACTTCCATAGTTCTTTCTTTGGATGTGGATAGCATTTTCCATCATGAGGCCTCTGGAGATGTCTTAGGTCCTTGTATTGCTGGGAAGGGTTAAGTTTATCAATATTAGTCATTGTATAATGTGGCTGTTATTGTGTACAATGTTTTCTTGGTTTTGCTCACTTCACTCAGCATCAGACCATGCAAGTCTTTCCAGGTTTTTCTGAAGTCAGCCTGTTCATCATTTCTTATAGCACAATAGTATTCTATTACATTCATATACCACAATTTGCTCAGCCATTCCCCAATTGATGGAGATCCTCTCAATTTCCAATTCTTTGCCACCACAAAAAGAGCTGCTATGAATATTTTCGTGCATGTGGGTCCTAAAGATAGTATTTGTAAAGAGATTTGCAAACATATATAGTTGTGTGTGAGTATACATCTATATTCTGTTATCTTACACAGGCAGCACAAACTTACATATATATGTATATTTATACAAATAAATTATGAATAGTGAGGTAGTAATTTCTGCAGTTCTATGGTTTCGGGCCTCATTAGTGAGCAGATTTGATCAGCTGGAATTGGTATTCCCATAACTTGCTCTCATGACATTAATAACTATGGGTATAAATAGATTATGGGCCAGGTTCATGCTATCTCAGATGTATGCCCATTTATTCTTCCTCTGAGTCCATATTGTATGCATGTCTATGTTAATAGTATACTCCTAAGGCCAGTATGGTAACAATATCTCAGCCTTGACTAAACTGAAATTCTTAGTACTAGGAAGAAAGTGCCAGTTTGGAATCCTCCAGGGAACCCAGGGTAGTACAAAATATCTGGAGTCTATAACATATGCCTCTCTGAAGCAATAGCCTACACTTCCAGCCCAACATTATGCCATTTCCTAGAAAATTCCCTATTTTGTTCTTGCTCTCCTTATTTGTTTTGGCCAGATCTTTCACATTACCCAATATCTAGCATTTCTCTTCCTTGACATCAGCACCAATTCTTACCCTTTCAATAAACTACATGATTTTAAGCTGTGCTAATGAATCATCCTGGTATTTAAGTATTTTTTGGTAGCTAGGTGGCACCATAATGCACAGAGTGGTGGACCTGGAGTCAGAAGAAATAAATTCAAATCCAGCCTCAGACATTAGCTATGTGACTGTGGGTAAGTCACAACCTCTATTTGCCTCAATTTTCTAGACTGTGAAGTGAAGATAATAATAGCATGTATCTCACAGGGTTGTTGTGAGGAGCAAATGAAATACTATTTGTAAAAACACTTAGCACAGTGTTTGATATATAGTTGGTACTTAATAAATGATTGTTTCCTTCTTTTCCCTTTGTGATCCAGGCACCTCACACGAAGGAAGAGAAATGATGGAGAACTTGGGGAAGTTGGGTATGCTGAATGGGTGTGCTCTCATCTTGGCCTTGAGACCATTATGTCTGCAGTCTTAGTGACTACCCTGATTTTATCCTTCTCTAGTTGTCCCTGATTCTTCTCCAGAAGTATTTCATCTTAAATCTTGAGCTTCATCTTGTGTGAGTTAAAACATACTGTAAATACTGTAATAAAGGTCCACCATTTTATACCTGGATGTTTTATTCTTTTGTTAAAAAACAAAGTGCCATAATTATGGAAAAGACTGGAATGAAAACTGGCTTTATGAGCTGGATGAAATTTATGAAAAATCAGACATCATAAATTCTACTTTTAGTTTCACTTTTTTTTTTGTTTTGCTAAAGCTAACTATTCCCTTATGAGCAATATGACTGTAGCAGAATTTGTCTTTAAGAGGGTGAATATAAACCCTATAGAACAGGCAGTGTCTGCCTGGTCACCCCGGGCTCACGAGTAAGTTTCACCAAAATAGGACTAATGTAATTTGATTGCAAAAATCCATAGCTGGAATACTGGGTTCAGACTGGAATAGGACCCAGTGGGACAATTCTTAGTTTTTAGGATCAGACTCCAAGGATCTAGGCCAATTTTGGTGTCTACTAAGGATCCATACACATTGGGAATCTGTTCATCTACCTTTATGGGATTTCTTCTCTTGTGTCTCATGACTTGCTTTTTAGGGACTTCTGCCTGCACTCGATAAGACTCCTTTTCTCTTCTGACACTGCCAGTGCTCTGGTATCACCCCTTACCATCTCACACTTGGACTATTACAATAGCCTGCCAGTGGGTCTACCTGACTCAATTCTCTCCCCATTCCAATCCATTCTCCATTCAGCCACTAAAATGATTTTCCTGAAATGCAGGTCCAATCATGTCACCACCCTACTTAGTAAAATTCAGTGGCTCTCTGCTGCCTACAGGATCCGATACAAAGATGCTCTGTTTGGCATTCAAAGCCTTTTATAACTTAACTGCCTCCCATCTTTCCAATTGGGCAGATAGGTGGCTCAGTGGCTAGAGTATTGACCTGAAGTCAGAAAGACTTATCTTTCTGAGTTCAAATCTGGCCTCAGATACTTACTAGCTGTGTGAGTCTGGGCAAGTCACTTAATCTTGTTTGCCTCAGTTCCTCATCTGTAAAATGAGCTGGAGAAGGAAATGGCGACCGACTCCAGTGTCTTTGCCAAGAAAATCCCAAATGGGATCATGAAGAGTCAGACACTACTGAAATAACTGAACAACAACAACAACAAGAAAACCCTTTCCAGTCTTCGTATAGCTTACTCCTCAACAAGTTCTCTTCAATCCAGTGACACTGGCCTCCTGGCTATTCCATAAACAAGATACTCCATCCCTCAGCACTGGGCATTTTCTCTAGCTGTCCCCTATCTGGAATGCCCTCCCTCCTCTGCTCTGCCTACTGACCTCTTTAGCTTCCTTTAAGTCCCAACTAAAATTCCTTCTTTTACTAGAAGCCTTCCCCAACCCATCTTAATTCTAGTGCCTTCCCTCTATTAATGATTTCCTATTTATTTCATATATTTGCTTGCTTAGTATAGATTTATTCGCATGTTGTCTCCCCTCATTAGATTGTAAGCTGCCTGGGGACAGAGACTGTCTTTTGCCTCTTTTTCTGTCCCCAGCACTTAGCACAGGCTCTTAATAAATGCTTATTGATTATTGATTGATTGATAAGTGTCTTAGGCATGAGAAATAATTCCGAGGTTTCACAATCTTTCTATAGTCTAACGATCCTCATTGTCAAAAGTTTATATTTACATCTAACTTAAGTTTTTCATGCTGGGATTAAAGTTAGTTTCCTCTTGTTGGGTTAAAGAATAGCTGGTTGCTACCCTCTGTGTGATAACCCTTCATGTGCTTGAATATTGTCATCAAGCCTCTATTTAGTATTCTGTAATCCAGCCCCCCCAAAAAAAACCTAGCTCCTGTTTTACACCCCTTTAATCATCTTTGTGACTCTTTTTTTGAACTTTATACCTATTATGTTTAGATGAGCCCATTACTGGGTATGTTACTTTAGTAAAGAAAACCACTTACAGTATGAAGAGAAAGCAAAAAAAAAATGCATCAATATAGGACTTTTATTGTTTATATATTCCATTTTTTGCTTCTTTGCCCCTCATGAGTAATACCAAACTTTAGGTAAGCTAGATTAATTATTTCTGTCTGTATAGAGAAAGGTTTTTTTAAAAAAACGTTTATTTGTACATCTTGATGGAGAGCATATCTCTAATACTCTTCTTTGATTGAAACTATTCTTTATAAGTTTATCTGATGCTAGATGTATGGACTTCAATTATAATAAGATCTGAAAATATTGCAAAATCCAGGACATTGGAAGTGGTAGAGAGGCTGGTGTTATAATTGAGTCTATCAATAATTGACAAGAGTTGAAGTCAAAGGGGGAATGCTTTTCTTTTCTCTTCATTAACAAGATACTGAGTGACACATTTTCTGGTGAGCAAAGAGATGAGCTCCATGCCACCTACCTTCTTGTTATATCCTCTGAACTGCCAGTCATTGCCATTTGCTCTGCCATTTTGCTTTCTGGACCACTGGGCCTTACCATCTGCCCTATGGCTGGATCTTCCCACAAGTGTTATCTTTATCATTAGAACATGGATTTCTAGAGGGTACTGTATCCCCAGCACTTAGCAAAATGAAAGCATTTAGCAAGTGCTTAATAAATACTTATTCATTCATTCTGACACATGGCTTATTATCTCTTATTTTTCCTCTCTCCCTCCCAAGCTCTTTCTCTCTCTTTAGATGACAGTGTCAAGGGTTTGAAAAGTGGGGCTGCAGTGCACATACCAGGTTGGTGGCCTACTAACCATTATTGTACTTGATGTCTCATAGAGAGTCTTCCCAGGCTTCCCCTAGGAAGTGGAGCCAAGTTCTGTGGCCTTTAATGGGACTTGGTGAAACAAGCCTTTCTGGGCTTTTTTGTATCCCCAGCATTTAGCACATAGTAGATACTTAATACATGTTAATTGATTGACTTTCTGGGCAAGAAGAAGGAAATTGTATGCCCTAATTATTGCCCAGAAATGAACCAAAGAATGAACTCATTTGATAGTAATTTTTAACCTGATAATGTTAATTCAGATCTTTACCAGGGCCATTTCATTTGAAAAACCTGTTAATATTGTGAATGTATCAGTAATCATCTCCTAGGGAATGAGTCTTTAGGGAAGTTTTTGATATAATCAGAATGGATATCTGCATTGCAATTGCAACTCAGGTCTATAGGTTTATAAATCTAGGTAGAGCTGGAATAGAACTCAGAGGCCACCTTGTCTGAACCTCTACGTTTTACAGATGAGGAAATTGAGACCCAGAGAGGTTACGTGACTTGATTAATGTCAAATAGCTAAGAATCAGATATAGCATTTGAACCTGGGACCCCCTAACACAAGAATCAGTGGCCTTTCTCCTATACCACCCTGCCCAGCAGTTTCAAAATTGGTCTGGGCAAGTTTTCCCATTAAAAGTTGAGTTTTGCTGTAAAATGAATGTGCAAATAGGAAAAAGTACTATGAATGATAAGATTTAGAATTTTTTTGAACTGTGTGGTTAGATTGTCTAAACAGTAGACCATAGCAAGAAAAAAAGTGAAGTTACACAGTAATGAAGGTATCTGGAGCAGCAAAAGTAAGAGTCATGATTGAGAAGGAGGTTGTCCTGCTAACACTACAATATGTGATAAGAATATGGTAAAAATAAAAGAAAATCTCTGTGGTGGTCTGAAGGTTTCTTTGTTTCCCCTATCTCCTTTCTCTACTGTTTCTTCACTGAATATCATTCATGCCTTGAATACATTCTCTCCTCACTCCTATCCCATGAATCCACCCTGCTTTATTTCTCCCCATTCCAATCCATTCTATATTCAGCTGTCAAATTAATCTTCTTAAAGCATAGATCTGACCATGTTAATCTCCTTTTTCCATAAATTCTAGTGGTTCCCCACCATTCCCAGGATCATATAAATCAAATATAAAATCCTCTGTTGGGTATTCAAATCCCTTCACAATCTGCCTTTCCAATTTTCTTATATCCCTTGTACTCTGTTTGGAGACTACTGAGATAATAATAAAAATAGTAATAACTAGCATTTATATAGCACCTACTATGTGTCAAGCACTGTGCTAAGTGCTTTACAAATATGATTTCATTTGCTTCTTATAACATCTCTTCATTGTAGCTACTATCATTATCTCTATCCTATAGTTAAGGAAACTGAAGGAAACAGAGATTAAATGACTTGTTCAGCAGTCACACAGTTAACAGTATCTAGGCTGGATTTGAACTCAGGTCTTCCTGACCACTGTGGGTCCAGCACTTTCTCCACCATAATACCTAGAGGGTGAACAGCTTATTCTAACAAGTAGGAAATGAATGAGACTGTACCCCAGGCAATAGGGAGCTCTCTGGGGAATCATAAACAGTTTGATACTAGAAAGTTTAGAAGATCCTTTGCCTTTGAAGTAATATGGCGGACTTATTTTCTTGCTACAGTATGGGGTTCTGGCCCAGCACCTCTGGATCTCACAGAGAGTGGGCCTACCAGGGAGCAAACAGCACCTCCATTGTCTGAGTCAGCGGTGGGGTAGAGGTTGTTTTTGTTTTTGGTGTGAGGCAAGATTGTCAGGTCCTAGCCAGGAGCTCATAGAGTGTGCCAAAGATCCAGAGAGTTAAGCAGGAAGTGGTGAGCTGAGTCTCAGATTATAGGGAAGGACACAGCATCAGTGACTGACAGTGACCTTTTCAGGAGCTGGTACTAACCACAGCCCATCCACGGTTAGGCCTTGCAGCTGTGGACATGGGCACCTTGGATTGACCCTCATTTTACCAACATAGACACTCAGCCAAGGTGGTTGAATGGTGTCTCCAAAGACAGTGATTTATGAGCCTTCTAAAAAAGATGTACAACACTTGGGACCTACAGACAAAGAGGCAGCAGTGGAAAGAGCCCTGAGTTTGGAATCAGAATATGTGTTTGAATCTTTCTATATGCTTTGGCTAAGAAAAAGATTTGCTGACTTCCAAATTTCATTTCATTCTACCATCAAACCTTTAACTAACAGGCTTCTGGCCAGAGCAATGCTCACCCCTAACAAGAGGGCTGGGCAGCGAGGTGGCACAGTGGATGGATCACCCAGCC